GCTGCCCCAGCAACAGCTCCAGCACGCCCTGCCCGGGGGGGGGGGGGGGGGGGGGGGGGCCGGGGGGGGGGGGGGGGGGGGGGGGGGGGGGGGGGGGGGGGGGGGGGGGGGTGGCACTGGGGGCAGGGCAGTGGGGGGTGGCACTGGGGGCAGGGCAGTGCGGGGCACCAGGTGGGGCGGCAGGAGAGGTGACAGGGCGGGGGGCAGCAGGGCGGGGGGCAGCACGGGGGGCAGCGGAGGGGCGGTAAGCAGAAGGGGCAGGGCGGGGAGCAGAAGGCGGGGGCGCAGCACGGGGGGAGGTGACAGCGCGGGGAGGTTCCCCCGCGCCGGCAGGACCGGGGTCGCGGCCAGCCCAGCCCCATGTCCGAGCTGCCCCTCCCGTGGCACACCTTGAGGTTGCTTGTTACCTGGGAGACCCCCCCACCCCCCCCCCCCCCCCCCCCCCCCCCCCCCCCCCCCCCCCCCCCCCCCGGGGATTTACCGGGCAAAGCGGCTGAGCGCGGGGAGCACGTGGCAGCACCCGTGGGTGAGGGACACGGGGACATGAGGACACGGAGGGGTACACGGAGACACCAGGGACGTGAGGAGCACGGGGTGTGAGGGGACACGGGGGACATGGGGAGGACCTGGGGATAGGGGGAATTCAGGGGATACAGTGGGTAGGGGGGGACATGGGAGAGCACGTGGGACACGGCAGGGCACGGGGCGCAAGGGAGACATGGAAGAAATTGGGGACGGGGAACATGAGTTTGGGGGGGATGCAGGGACACGGACATGGGGGGACGCAGGGGACACGGGGGATGCTTGGGACATGGAGGACGTGGGGATGTGTGGGGACATGAGGAACATAACTGAGGGGACACAGGGGACATAGGGGTGCACAGGGGACATGGGGAACACGGCTGGGGACATGGGATAATGGAGACATGGTAGGGCACAGGGGACTTGGGGGACAGGGGACACTGGGGGGACACGACTGGGAGAAGGAAAGGGTTATGGGACATGGAGCAGCATAAGGGACACAGGAGCCATGGGGAGAGACACGGGACATTGGGGACACGGCGTTATGGAGATGACAGGGGACACGAAAGACATGGGGAGACATGATTGGGGTGAACCCAGGGTTATGGGGACTTGGTGGGCACGGAGATTACAGGGAGATGCTACTAAGGGGGACACAGGTTGGGTACATGCAGGACACAGGGGGACGTGGCGGGGACACGTCTGGGGCTTACAGGGAATTATGGGGACATGGGGGCTGTGGGGAGACATGGGGGGACAGACGGGGGGGACACAGGGATTGGGCGAGACACACGGGGTGGGGGGGTCCGAGCGTGGCAGGGACAGGGCCGGGGCCACACAAAGGGGCCATTGAGCCTCCCCATAGTGGGGGAGGGGTGAGGAGAAAAATTTCCACCCAAAACTTTTTCCATGAGCCCATTCCCGCTCCTCCCCCACTCCAGCCCCTCCCCTCCCCTTTCCCGGCACGGGGGGGAGAGGTGGAGGTGGAGGGGGTTACACACGTGTCCGGGCATGGGGACGCATGCGTGCATGTGACATGCAGGGACACACCCCACACATGTCTCCCATGCCCAGACATGTGTGTGCACTTTGGAGGCTGAGTAAAAGTGTGTGACACATGCAGTGACATGTGATTATCCTGTGTAAAGGTGTGTGACACGTGATCATCCCATGTAAATGTGTGGGACATGCACAGTGACACGTGACCATCCTGTATAAAGATGCATGACACATGACTATCCCATGTAAAGGTGTGTGACATGCGTAGTGATCCCGTGTGCAGGTGTATAACACATGCAGTTACATGTGACCATCCTGTGTGCAGGTTTGTGACCTCTGCAATGATCCTGTGTGCAGGTGTGTGTGGCAGGTGTGTGACACACATGGTGACATGCACAGTGATCCCATGTGCAGGTGTGTGACACACGCGGTGACACATACAATGATCCTGTGTGCAGGTGTGTGACACACGCGGTGACACGTACAATGATCCCATGTGCAGGTGTGTGACACATGCAGTGACATGCACAATGATCCCGTGTGCAGGTGTGTGACACACACGGTGACACGCACAATGATCCCGTGTGTAGGTGAGGGACACCTGCAGAACCCCAGAAATGCAGTTGGGCAGGCGGTGCTGGCACAGGCTTTGCACACCCAGAGATGCCCAGGCACACTCAGACACAGACACTGACACACACCTGTGCACACCTGGATATGCTCACACACACCTGGACATGCCGACACACACCTGTCCACAGTGGTCACACTGGGAGAAGTGACAAGGGGATTGTAAGGGACTAGGAAGGACTGGGGAGATGACGCGGGGGACTGGGAGAACTGGCAGGACGGGGAGGGATTGAGGGGTGACAAAGGGACTGGGAGGGACTGAGAAGGGCTGGGGTAGTGACAAGGGAACTGCAAAGGACTGGAAGAACTGGGAGGACTGGGAAAACGGGTGGTGACATGACGACTGGGAGTGCACGGGTGGAATTGGGAGGGACTGGGGAGGACGTGACGCGGGGACTGGGAGGACTGGGAGGGGTTGGGGGTGAAGGGGTTGGGGGTGACGGGGGCGGGGCCTGGGTGCCCCCCAGGGAGGGAGGACATACGGAGGGGACAAGCACGTCTGATACCGCGTGGCACACGTGACACGCGTGTACGCGACACCGCGGGTCTGCACCCTCTGCTCCAGTCCCCGCCCACTCCTAATTCAGCCCCGCCCACGAGTCCCGCCCCTCGCTCGGGCCACGCCCCATTCGAGCCAGCCCCGCCCGGCCCCGAGCCGCGCCTCGTTTCTATTCAGCCCGGCCACTCAAGGCCCCGCCCTCAGCCCGGCCCTGCTCAGTTTAGCCCCGCCCACACGCCAGCCCTCCGTTCCGAACGGCGCCGCCCCTCCAGGCCCCGCCCGGCCGCGTCCCCGGCCGCGCCCTCCGGGGCCGCTCGGGGCCGATCGCGGCGGGGCCCGGCGGGGCCCGGGCTCGCCATGTTCGGCTGCGTGGAGGCGGCGGCGGCGCCGCGGCGGCTGCACGACGTGACGAACCGCGGGGGCTGCGCCCTTCGCAGGGTCCCGGTGCCCGCCGGCTGCGGGGGCCCCGCCCGCAGAGGTATTGGGGAGGGGGGCGGGGGCGAGGGGGATCGGTCGCGCCCGAGGGGTGGGAGTGTTCGCGAGTGGGTGCGGGGGTGAGGCGGGAAGCGCATCCAGGTGTTAACTGACCGTGCAAATGGGTGTGAGAGCGAGTGCGGGTGTGCCGTGGGTGCGGGGCCGGGGTTGTTCGTTTCCCGAGTGGGTGCGAGGGGTGCTCGGAAACCCCCTGGGTGTTCAGCGGAGCGTGAGAGCGCAAATGAGCGTGAGCGTGCGGTTGTGCCAACGCGGGGGGGGGCTGCGCGCGGGTGCGGGGAGCGTGGAGGGGTCGGGGCCGTGGGGAGGGGTCTCCGAGAGTGAGCCCGAATGTGGCAGCGAGTGTGAGAGCGAGTGCCAGCGTGCGTGAGCCGGCGGCTCGGTGCGGGCCTGGGGGCTGCTCCGTGTACGCGAGTGGGTGCGTGGGTGTGCCAGGAGCTGGGGTGGAGAGTGTGTCCAAGTGTGGAAACGCGCGTGAAGGGGGGTTAAGGGTGACCCGAGAGGGACGCGCGTGGGTGCCGGACTGGCCTGGGCGTGTGCGGGGATGACGCGAGGCCGGGGGGCGTGTGCGCCGTGGGGGGCGAGTGTATAAGGGGGCGACATCCCCAAAATGTCCCCAGGAGGGACGCGGGTTGTGGTGGGGTAGGGTCCCAGACCCGTTTTGCGGAGGGCGCAGGGACGTGGGGACCGCACTGGGGGAGCCCCTTTGCGGGCTCGAGGGACCTGGGGCCTGTTTTTGGGGGAGGTCGCGGTGTCCCGGAGCCCCTTGCAGGGGCAGAAATAAGGTCCCGGTACTGGAGGGGCACAGGGACGTGGACCACACAGGACCCCTTTCGGGGGATCCCGGACCCTGCTTTGGAGGCGCTCAGGGGCCCCGAACCTTGTTATTTTGGGGGGTTCGCACACCCTTTTATGGGAGTAGAAAGAGGCACCCGGTTTTTGGGGGGCCCATGACGGGGGTCCTGGAGGTCCCAAATGACCCCTCCGCGTGTACATCTGGGTATAAACAGGGTGGGAGGGGAGAGAATCCCCTCAAATGCCCCTAAATCTCCCCCCCTTCCTCCTATGCCAGTGGTGCGGTGCCTCCTTCTGTGTCCTCTCCCCTCCCAGTTCCTCGGCCTAACTGGTTCCAGTCGTGGCCGCGCCCGCGTCCCCCCGCGTCCCCCCCGCGCTGCCAATGTGGCACATTAACCCCTGCGGGGCTGCACCAAAGCCGCCCGAAACCCCACCTGGGCCGGGCGGGGGCTTTGCTCAGCAGGGCGGGGAGGGCGGCTCTCCCTGGGTTTTGGGGGGAACTCCCGTGGCCCCACAAAATTTCACCCTGGGCGGAGGAACTTCCTCCCCCGCCCCGCCAATT